TTTGTAAAGTGTGTATTTTGTTTGGCTAGAATTTTTATTCTCTCTTTACAAGCAGAAATAACTTCATGAATAAAAAATACAAAGGCAGTGCGAAGTAAATTTTCAGAAGAGTTTTTTTTTTTTTTTTTTTTTAAAAAAAATGAGGTCTGCTGGACTGTTCATTTTTTTGTATTTGTTATTGTTCATATGATGATTCCTTTTGTAATTTTGAATGTTTATGGTTTTTAGGCCTCTGGTGCTTGGCCGCCTGCCCATATTATTATCCCGTATTGTGAGAATCGAGTGCACATTTTTTGCAAAGTACCCCCTTGTGCTGTCAGCAATGGTGCTGTTTCTTTCTTCTTCTTATTCTTCCCGCCTTCTTCTTTCTTTCTCTTCTTACTTCTTCTTCCGGAGTTTAACTCAAGCTTACACCCCTATAACACAAGGCAAGCATGTAACCTTCATCAACCAATGTGTACAAGTACATTATACCAAAAGAGTACATTCCCTTCAGGTATACAATTCTGCAACAAATGACCAATACATCTGAGAAACACGACAGGCTTCTACAACTTAAAAAAAAGCTTAAAACACTTCCCTGGGAAAAAGTTTTTTATAGCATTCAGGAATACTTCAATGACTAATATGTGCAATGTGATTTTTAGGTGCTGCAGTAGGTCTAGCTGTAGAAATAGGAAAAAATCTGCCCATAACCTGCCTCCTCCCCATTTCAAGATTTTAACAAGCAATATACTAATATTGTTAAACCATATGTAGCTGTTACCATAATTGTTATTATGTTCCAAGGGGATGGCCCCTTGTTTGCTTCTGGACAATAAAAATAAATGTAACTTCACTCGCTGCTCCCAAGATGTATGCGATTGTACTCCCTCTAAATATATCATATTTGACTCGTCATACATGATTGTAATTGTATATGTGACTCAATAAATATTATTATTATTATTATATTAATATTATATTATTACTATTATTATTATTATTATTATCAAGTTCACAATGGAATAGATTATTATACTTTTCAAAATCTGATTCATTAATCTTGAAGAGGACAATCTCTACTTCAAAATGCAAGTTATTTAATTATTTTCAATCTCTAGGATATTAAATTAAATTTACTTTTTCTTGCAAATGCAAGTTACAATAGAATAACCTCTCAATATATTAAAAACAAAATCATGTGATGAAGATAACTGTTTCTTACCATTAAATGAGTTTTATTTACGATTCTTTTCATTTTGAAAACACATGTCAATTGAAACTTTGAATTTGTTTTAGTATTTAATTTTTAAAATAATAGTGAGTATTTAAAAAACATGTCTACTACTGAAAATGTTTAAATACACAAGCCAAGTTCACAAATAGTATTTCTTTTTTACCTCTTTTGTAATTGTAAATGTATTTGAGTATCAATGACACCTACTCAGAGTTTTTGACCAGTTGCCCTTGATCCTTTAAGCAAATTCTAAGATGCTTTGCTTTGATTGCCCTTCCTTCTATTTCTGGATAGTACCTGTTAACTACACACTACTTTAACTTAACCCAAGTCTTCTTGAGCTCCCTTTTTCTAGACATGAGAGTAGTGGAGGGTTAATTATTTTTTAGCAGTGTATTCAAAATTAAAATTGAATGTCACTTGCAGTTCTTTGACATAGAGGTGAACCTTATTATATTCTCATATTAAAATGTTGCTTTTTATCCTTACTCATAATAGTGTGTAGTTTGAGAGAAAGTAGGAAATACGGAGCTCAGGAAGACATGTGCATATAGTACATTTATCACATCGCCTATTTTTATGTTAGAAGCCTATGTTTCGCCCCTACATTGGGGCCATCAATAGTGTTGGAAACTTATAATTAATATTAGAACAAAGGTATTGTGATATTGTGAGAGTCATGTATACACTAATCACTGTATTATTAGTGAATAATGGGAGGGAGAAAGAAAAAACAACCCTGTGTACTAATATCAACAATACATTGCAAGCTCTGATGGAAGCATAACAAAAATACATACACGTAACAGGATTTTGTTTAAAAATTGACCACACAGACTTGATTATAAACAAGTAATTTTCCTGCTTTCACAACAAATGTGCACCATATTAATAAAAAGTAAATGTAACTAGAATGTAAATTGCATCCCTTGAGACAACACAACACTGATATAACCATTTAACACAGTAGCTCTAAGAAATTTCGAATTCCTTCAGGTCTTATCTGTAATATAAAAGGTAAATATATTTCAATCAAATATGCTTTGAGTTGATATCAATTCTAAAAAAATGTGCCCAATACAATTAAATTGAGGTTAGAACTTCACACTACAGTATTCGAAACACCTTACCCAAAAAGTGTTCGTTACTGACGGATTAAATTTAAGGTACGACTTACCTTTTAATTTGAAAGAAAACTCCTGATTTTTTTTTTGCTCAACATCAAAGTCTGCACCATTTTCTGTCATTATTCTCTGAAGAACTGTTTGGGGAGTTGAAATCGGTCAAGTTTCAATTGCGTTGCATGTATCGACAAAACAGTCGTAATTAAGGTTTGTGAGGGTTTAATATTTAAATAATTCCACAGAATATTTGGTCGCTAGCTTATGGTAGCCAATCAACACCTTTTATAACTTATGAACACACATTCACAATACTGATCTGTATACTTCGGCTTTTATTTCTTCGCGCGTGAGGGCCTGTACGGAGCTTCGGAGGCATGTCTTCACGATGGAATGTCTCACAGCATTTCGCGTCTTTCTCAGGCAAGCCGCTAGATGTCGCATGATCCCCAGCACTTCTGAATGTAAATTACCTTGGCTTAAACATTTAGTTTATATCGGTTTACGTTGCCATGTAATACACATGTAAAAGTTTTTCATTTATTATTATTATTATTATTATTATTATTATTATTATTTATAGGTAATTTTTATTATAATTATAACCAGGTTTCTCTCTAGCCAGTAGCTCATGTTGAAATATTAACAACGCACATCATGCATATGGTGGGACATGCATTTTTATTAAAAATACAATTTGTTTTGTACCCTACACAAATCACACTCCTCTTGTAAAAGAGAAAGACTTTGAAATATCCATCACTGACTTAACAACAATAAAAACATGTGTATTATGCACATATCGCAACCCTGCTGGAAATTTGAAAACCTTTTTAAAAAATCTGGAAGTTATTCTAACAAAACTTCAAAAACGCGGACAGTATAAAACTATTCTTTGTGGTGACTTCAATATAAATTGCCTCTCACAATCCAGTAATAAAAATATATTTAAAGACCTACTAAAATCATTCAATTTACAAACAACCATAAATACACCAACACGAATATCCAAAAATAGTAGCACTACTATAGATCAAATAATAATAGATGCAAATAACCATTGTTTTTCTGTTGCTACATTTAATACAGGTTTCAGTGACCACATTGCCCAGATCCTAACACTTCCAACAGAAACAAAAACCGCGGAACAGACAACTTACAAAGAAATCCTTAACTATTCCCAAGGAAACAATAAAATTTCAAAACTTACTAAGATTTGAAAACGGGAATGAAGTATATAAGGCAACCGATACAAATGATAAGTTTAACTCATTCATAAATATATACTTAAGACATTTCAATGCCGTTTTCCCTCAAAAAGATCCAAAATAAGAAAACTAAATCATGGATTACCACAGGCATCAAAGTGTCATGTCAAAGAAAACGCAACATGTCTAAATTACTAACAATTAACAAATGTAACTCAAACTTCATCTCATATTATGTAATGGGACGGTCGCACATCGCAGATGACGACACGAGCCATGTATTTATTTTATTTAATTAAGAACCGCGCCACCGTTAAGAGCAACCGGAAATGCCATTTCCTGCTGCACCTGAGTATGAGCCGATTAGCGCGCCAGGGGAAACGAGGAAGTACCGCCTCCTTTGTTCAGCGAGACCCACGCTGGGCGCACACCTTATGACGTGTGCGGAAATACTCCACCCACACCTCTTCACCGAGCAACGGAATTACCCACGCCTATTTCCGGAAATTTAGGTGACGTAGGTTACTTCGGGGGAAGTTGCTGGGGGCGGCTTCGCCGCTGGCGCCGTGATAGGCGGAAGGATTCCGGGTGGCGCGACAACCAATAAAAATAGACAATGCGTGGGAGGAATCACGTGGTACGCGAGCCTTCCTGAGGGACTGCGAATGAGAGGAGCGATCACTTGTGTCGGAGGAAGCGAGGAGGAGACTTGCTTCTGAGGCAGTAGCGAGGCCACAACACTCACCACATCACAGCCCGACTCGTGTGATGAGAGCCGGACGATGGGACAGGACACAACTAGTGGATGCCTGACCGAAAGGGCCATGTGAGTACGTGACAAATTATATCGCGGAGCGACCCGTCATCGCCCGGGCTCGTTCCCGCCGCCGTCCGCACCAAACGCCGCTGAGAGGCCACCGGTCGACGCACACAGCTGGCCTAATACGGGGTCGCCGCCGTGACTGCCAAGGGGCCGCCACAAAGGGACCTGAGGCAAGCTGACCGTCGACGCCCGCCGCCAGACCTGCCGCGCGTTGGGATGCCCGAACGCCGCACCTGTTAGCTGGATCACGACCGCCCGGGAGGGCAAAGACACCGGAGCTGAGATGAACTCTGGCTATACCGGCCGTTAATAAGTTAGGATGAGTTTTAAGTTAGTTGTAAGTTTATTCATGTTACTGGGCTTCAACCACGCCCAATACTAAAGTGATTAAAGTAGTTTTATGAAAATGCTGAAGTCTTTCTCTCAAGTATTTAGGCAAGCATGCATGTCTCCCTCTAGGGAGTCTGCCGACGAAGCAGCCGGGCAAAGCTGAAACGCCGAAGGAATCAGGTAATCGGGTGAGTCGGTGGTTACAATTACAAAACATATAATTCGATCCTAAAAAAAATAATCAAACAAGCAAAAATTATAACAAATGATCAGTACATTGCAAATGCACGTAATAAAACAAAAGCTATGTAGGACATTATTAAAAATACTACAGCACAAACTAATAACAACAGAAAAACATAGAGCTCCACTACAAAAAAGAAACTAGACAAGACCCACAAGAAATAGCTGATATATTCAATGAACACTTTTCACGAATTAGTAATAAATTAATCTCTCAACACTCCTCTAAACAATAAAACACACAAACAACACACTAATTATACACAATTGTAAATTCATATTTTTATATGAAACCACCCCTCTGAAATTTTCTTTAAAATCATTGGAACACAATGGATGAATAAATTCTCAGCAGCGTGGACAACATTTCCAGATTTTCTTATTAAACACAGTGCCTCCATGTGTAGTGCAGACACTATCTCACATATCCAATCAATCTCTAAATCAGCATTCCCAGATATATTCAAACAGCAAATTAAACCGTTGTTAAAAAGGGCGAATTTATGACCCAATTAACAGGCCTATTCTCCTTGTTATCAGGATTTTCAAAAATTCTGGAACACTTTTCCAATGGATAGATCAAAACAGTTTCTCAATGCAAGATAATGTCCTTACAAAGTGCCAACATGGCTTCAGGAGTAATAGATTCACAGACACGACATCTTCTTCCTTTTTAAATGACATTACTGCCACTAAATCAGAAGGAAATTCCACGTCCTTTTCTTAGATTGGTCAAAGCCTTTGAACATCAGTTGACCATTCAATACTTTTAGAAAACTAGAATGCTAGGATCGAGGCATTGACAGGCCAAAGGATCAAAACATATTTTATCAAACACAGACAAAATAGTTGCCCTCCAACACACTATAAGAAAACAAAATCGCCTCATACTACCTTCCCGCCCTCAAATAATAAATTGTGGAGTCCTGCAAAGATCCATCCTGCGCCGGAATACTATTCCTTATATATCATAAATGACATGCCTTTGGCTTTAAGGAACAACAAAATAATGTTTTTGCAGAAAACCAAGAAAACATCATCGATTCAATGGCAAAAAAACACAAACAATCATTAGAAAAAGAAACTCAAAAACTTTGCAAGACTAGTAAAAAATAGTTTCAAGACAACAAACTCATCATAAAACACCAGAAACAGTTCTCTCTAAATTTCATTTGAATCCTCGGTATAAAGAAAACCTCTCAACAGCATGTGGCTCATTAAACAATAACCCTGTAATGAATCTCATGAAACTACCTTCCGCCAGACTAAACATTACGAAAACCTAAAAGGAACTGCTCACATTTGCAAATCTTAACAAAGAAGTTCAGCCAAATATTGCTATGCCCTATACAGCCTCAGGTCAAGCTCCAACATGAGACACCTTGAACATGTAAATGCCAAATGGCACCTCACGCCTAAAATATGGTATAATATTTCTGCGGAAATGCCCCTGAAAAACTTGCACATTTATATCCAAAATAGAATAGTGCAAAACCAAATGACCAGCACTCATAAGCGGTGGAGTCTTTGCAACCCGTTGTTTAAGAAACTTAAAGATTCTTCCTCTACCATGCCTGTATAAGTGGTCTTCACAAAAGAAAATTTCATGGAAAACAAAGACACTTTTTACTCTAAATTGCTGATGTACCCAACACAAACACCCATCAAAAGGATAACCTACATTTCCCCACTCTGAAACTACACTTTATAAAAAAAGTACCCTAATAGAAGACATTTACACTGTACACCGAACTAGGCAATGAGTCATAAAGACATAAACACAATCATACATTTAAAGTAAATTGAAAGCTTTCCGCTTAACAACATGTTCCACAGTGTAAAGGAATATTCAAATTACAACATTTCCCGTAAGAAAAACAAATAAAATAAGATTTTCTTATCCCATTAGACTTTCCGCTTCATGTTAACTGTTTCGAGCTGAAGCCAGGAAAAAAAAATAAAAAAAAAAAAAAAAAAAAGAAAAAATTGGGGCAAAATAATTCGCCATTTCTGTGAAGTAGAATAGAGGTGCTATAGTCTTTTTAATTATGCCCAATAGCTTTGTTTTAATTACGTGCATTGCAATGTTACTTATCATTGTTTAATAATTTTTGCTTGTTGATTAACATTGTTTTAGGATCGAGTTATATGTTTTGTATTGTAACCACCGATCCCCCGAAGTAAATGCCTGGGTGAAAACTGTCTCCTCACCATTTCAAGTTTTAAATATAGAATTACTAATATTTTAAATTTTATGCAGTTGCTAACATGATATGTTATTGTTAGTATTATATTATTATTATATTTATTATTATTATTATTATTATTAATTATTATTTATTATTATTATTATTATTATCCTCCTCTCATCATCATTATATTTATTTTTATCCTTAAAAGACAATTACATGGAATGAGGTCTACAGCCATAACTGTTTCATTAATTTATTTAACAAAATCTTTTTTTCAGAATCATGTAATTCGCAGTTCCAAAATACATGTTCGATTGTATTTTCGCCTTGATTACAAATATAATTTTTATCATTTGTAATAAATTTTCCTTGATCAACTACAATTAAGCGATGTGTGATTGTTTCGTATTCTGTTGATGGTTACAGCGGCCTTCCAAGGCAATTTAAAATTTAAAAAACCATGTTTACTACAGAAATTGTCAAACAAAAATTGAAAATAAAAGCATCTCTTATTTTTACCTGTTCAAAATGTATGTCCTCATTTTTCTTCTGAAATTTTAGATTAAATTTCATGAAAAAATCAGAGAATG